TGCTGCTTGGATATATGTCGTGCTGATAAGATGTTGTAGGGAGAATTGAGCGTACAGTTTCATTACCGAAAGTCCATATAAATAGGGATAGAGTAGGGTTTACAAGTACGGGCCAATAGGCCCATAATATATAATTTACATAGAAAACCCCTAATACATATTTTATCTAAACGATAGCACACAACATATAACTTCCTTCAACATTTTGGGCATTTTTGACTCCTAAAACAACTTTGATTACATATGATCTAAAAAGAACATATATAAAGGGTTATAGTTTTGGAATGCCAAGACTTGATAGTCCTATTTATGGGCTATTGTACATTACCATAAAAACTCGCTATAGACTGGGATTGCGTAAGGGAGTCAGAGATCACTTCATTAAATTCTCATACTAACAGTCAGTCGGATTTGGTATCGAGCCACCCAGCTTGAGACAAATGTGTTGGCCCGGATTTTTGTTCGTTGCAAAATGTTGCTCGGAGTTAGAAGCTGGTTTGTTCGTCTTATTCTTATTACTTATGGTTTATGCTTATATTATTAATTAGCTCAAATCAGATTAGAAAAATCAAATCAAATCAAATTATAAAATTTAAGATCAAATCATATCAGATCTGGAATATTCAGACCAGATAAAAAAGATTCAGATCATGTTAGATCAGATCATAAACATTCAGACCAGCACAGAAACATTCAAATTAGACCAGAAAAGTTCAGACATGATTTATTACTTATATTATTATTATTATTTTATTATTATTGTGGTTGTTAGTTGTTGTTGTTATCATTATTATTATTATTATTATTATTATTATTATTATTACTATTATTATTATTACTATTACTATCATCATCATCATCATCATTACTACTACTTAATACAAAGCTTGGGCCAAAATGGTAAATATATAGATGGAAAGCCCAAATGACATAGCCCACCTTACTAAAATTATGAAACTGCTCTCATCTTAATCCATTAGTTAGTGAGATTAATTAAAATTATAAGTACTAATCGCAATGAGAATGATTTGTGGAGTTCTTGAATAAAATATTCTTTTTGAAACTAGTTATATCAGTCATTTGAGAAATGACTAATTGTTTTAATTAATTGATGATTAATTAAATTGGTTATGAAACCCTGAATATTGAGAGGAACTACCTAATATATTCTTGGGTCATATTATTAATTGTAGTAGCCCAATATAATGGAAAAGAAAGTATGTACTTTGGTTGGTCCGATCAAAAAAGTAACTTTGGCATCACATGTGACAAACTAGACTACTTACTGTAAATAGGAAGAATAATGGAGGTGTATCATATACTCACTTGGTGATAGAAAGTACGTTTTAGAGTCATGTATAAATAAAAAGAATAGTCAACATAATTGATTTGGATGGACAAATAAGAGAGATGACAACCACATCAAGAAAACAAAACCAAGGTGGTCCACCTCTTGTATTGTTGGTAGACATTTTATGGATATCTCTCTTATCCTCTAATTTATGTCATATGAAGAAAATTTGAGAGAGATACATCTTTGGGAATATCCTATATGAATGAACTACCAATAAATAAAGAAGGTAGTGGTTCATATATTGCATAAGGCCGAACTAGAAGTGAATGGGGAACCCAAGTGTCATGTCTGAGTTTCTAAGAATAATAAGTTGAGAGAGGGGAGGCCTCCTATCCTCACTTGGGGGAATCTCATACACATTATTGAACAAATGAATCATAGGAATTGTTTGAACTGTCGGGTTGGACAACGAAATAGAAAGGGAGCTCCACAAATAAAAAAGAAATGCAAGTTGGTCCACCTCTTACACCCATTGAGGTGCTTGTATAAGAGATGTTGTGCCCCTATCATTGAAGCCTTAGAAACCCGAATTATAGATAGAGGAAAGGTCTGCGAGATCTGAAAATACCTTAATACAGACTGAAAAGCTTGAAGAAGAAAGAGAGGAAGACAATCCAAGAAGAGTGAAGAAAGTATTAGAGGTAACACATCATTATTCCCAACTAATGTTGATTTAATTATTAGTTTTTGTTATGACTAATAAATCATATGGACAATTAAACGTCGGGTTCTACGCAATTAAAGATGTACAATAATGGCTTGAAAATGTTAAATAATGGTATAAATTGTTAGATATCGACCTAGAAAAAATATTGGAACAATAAGAGTCAGACTCATCAGGAAACACCCTTCAATTCATAAGACATTGTTTTCATTCCAGGAAAAAGGAGTTGTCCAACATTTGGAAGAATTATTCCAACCTTCATTACTACTCAAGAAATTCATATTGGATCATCCTTGATTGTAGGCTTGACTAAGGGACTAGGGGAGGACAACTTATGGAACATAAATTGAGGTGAGGATGACCGACTATATTGCTTATAATTAGTGAGTTTAGCACGCTAGGTAATCAAAATATGATTTTGATGAATTTAAATGGTATAAATGATTTTGAATAAATTTCAATGACATACAAGCATATAAATGATGAATGGTCATATGGGTGAATAAGATAAGTGATGATGTATGAGGAGAGAAATCCTTTAAGTATAGTGGTTATCGAATTGTTGTGAGGTATTAGGATTATATAAACTTTTGGGATTACTTGTGAATTGTGAAGATATTGAGCAAGATAGGTATGAATTGAGAACGATCCATGATACTATGACCGTGCTCAAATGAAATAGTGAACACATCTAAGTTGATATGTGGGCAACATAGCAGTGTTGATGAAGAGTAGTCTGAGTTTATAAGATATGAAGACGTGAAGGTAGGATTTACTGTGGTCATTGTTTATACAACCAAATAAGGATCTATATAGTATACAATATGATGGGTGTGTAAGCCCAATATACATTACTGTGGCTATGTAAGCCCAAAACGAATATATGTTATGATGAGTGCGTAAGCCCAAAATAAACATACAGTACAATGGGTGTGTAAGCACAAACTGAATAAATGAAATATGATGGATGTGTATGCCCAAAATGAATGGACACAATTGTGAGGTGTGTAAGCCCAAAATGAATGAGCACAAGTCATGGGGTGTGCAAGTCCAAAGTGTATAAACACGAGAAATAGAGTGTGTAACCCTCTAAATGGAATTGCACATATACTTGGGGGTGTGGTAACCCTCTCAATAATTTTCGTACATGAGTATGGGGTCATTGAGTTGTTTGACATGAACTATTTTAAATACAAATGGACTTATGGGTCGATTATTTGACTAAGTATATATTATATGTATGATTTTAAAAGTGGTAGTTATAGGTTATACCCATATTATGATATTATACTATGTTGAGGGTCTTGTTTTTGAAATACCGTATAATTTTCATTGTACTTTTTGAAGGCCTCAAAGTAATAACCTCTCTCCGGGGGCATCTCACTTCACCATTGTACTTGTAAAGAGATTTTGTGGATGAAGAACATGTTGCTGAACTTAGGAATAAATCAAGAAAGGTACGTATTTAAGTGCAATTTACTTGACGAAGAACTCAACATTTCATTCTTACACGAAGCACATTAACACAAAGTAACATTGGATCCTAGAAATCCTTGAGAAAAAGAAAATACATCTTGACAAGGTTCACATAAATGAGAATTGGTCGAACATGATGAAAAAGCAATACTGACAAAGAAGTTTGAAGATTATTATCAAGATGGCGGTTTGCATTTGCCCCCAATTGACTCAAGAGAGAAAAATTTGTTGGGATTCGGCTCTCCTCAACTAAAGAGGTTGTAGGAAATTGTACAGTTTTCTATGGAAGTGTGGAATATTCTAGAACGTTCCAAAGAAGTGTAGAACTCTCTAGAAATTTGTGAAATATTATGGAACTCTCTCGAATATTATGGAGTTGTGCGGATTCTTCTGGATACTACAGAAGAGTATAAAAGGGTATGAAAGGAAATAGAGAGATGTGGAGACTCCTTGGAGTTTTCTGTAAAAAAAAAATCACGAAAGAAATTATATTACTAATTTTCCTATTCCTTGCACGTTAACAACACTTGTGTTCCCCATCATCATTGTTCTCCCAATATACATGCACATTATATCCTCTATCTATTAGCCATTTTGGAATGATAAATAGTGAAAACTTCAGGTTTGAAACAAACTTACCCTTCGAAACTAGTCCCTCCGGTCACCACGTTGACTTGAGGTCCTCAAATTGGACCTCGACATTTTACTAGGGCACAACTTGGCCTCATTCCCCATCTATCCACAGTTTTAGCATGGTCGGTTTGCCTTTGATTTTTTTTTTTTGCAATTTTTATTTTGATCTTTATGGGTTTAAAAGGTTGTGATTATTTATTTCAAAAATTTTGTGACCGCTTTCCCCCGATTACAAAATGAGTCTTTGGTTGCAATTCAACCGGCGCAGTGTAACCCGCTTTCTTATGTTCCACACTTCCACCTCTCAAAAGTAATGGAATACATCAAAGATTTCTAACTTATCTTTTTCATTTTATATTTTAAAGTCAAACCAAAATCTTCCCATGATTTGGGGGATATTTAAATTACAACATTGACTTTAAATATATTAAACATTTCAATATCTGCTTTATGGAGAGAATGTAAGATAAAATCAAATTCATGTGTCTCTTCTAGAACAAATTTTCTCTCTTTCATGTCGAATCTCAATAATTTGGAAACTATATATACTTTTCGAAACTGTGGTCATCAATTTTAGACATGTCCCCGATTCGGAACCGAAGTTGACCGGAACCGTACTGCTGGTTCACGGTTCCAACTTGTAGTGAACCTGAACCGGAACTTTATTGGTCCGGTTATATGCGATTTGAATCCGCCATATTCTTTTCAGGTTCCAGTCCAGTTCCGCAATTTTCAGTTTTTTTTTCTCGATTTTTCTTTGTTCATTGAAGATATGTATTTAATTAAAACATTAAGGATATAATAAAAATACTTTTTGAATTAAATATTCTACTGAACAGAAGCAATGCAACACAACACTCACACTTTTAAATAGCACAATATACACTTTTTGTAATTAAATATAAATTCAAACAACATAATTAATAGAAACTTTAGACAATGTCACTCCATACTAAATAAAATAATAATATTATCTTAGTAGCTTATTTTTTTCTAATAACTTTGAGCTTGAACTTAGCGTTATCACGACTAAGCTGCCTACGTATCTTCTCGATGTATTGAGAAGAATCAAAGCTCACACAGTTCTCTACATTAAATACACACAATAAAATATTCTAAGCGTAATTAAAATATTGTCATTACATATATTAATCTATTCTTGATGTTCTTCTATATTAGTTGTACCATCATCGGAGAAGAAGTCACGAATAATAGTTGAGATTGTCTCCATTTCTGGTTGCCTCGCGTATGCTCTATCTTTCCCAATCTCCGAAGCACATTTGCACTTGAACTGACTCTGGCGTAATGTTCGCGGGTTGTTCACCCTAAACTTTCCCATGATAGAAACGGGACAAGACAACACTTGTTTTGCTATAAATCTATAATGCTTAAAATAGGGAAGTTCTTTGATTGATCTTTCCACCATTGTGACAAATCTAGACGTGTTTGATTTTCTTCTCCTTGATCTTGAAATACAAAACCCACGCTTAAATGAATATTGACCATGGACAACGTTGTATAAGATGGAGCAGATCAGGTCCTTTTTGTTGCTTGTGCTCATAAACTAAAGCCTCGAGATAGCATATTTGAAGAAGACGAACCTCCACCTTGAGTTCAAGGTTGGGGCACGCCAAGCGATGGGCCGTATCTACTCAAATACTCATCGTACAAGCTGCAAAATAAAGAACTAATATTACTGTACAACTTATTAGTATCAACAAAGTTTAATGGGCCAGAAAAATCATCTAAGCCTAAACAGTGATAATACTATGAAATAGGAACATGATACTCTCTAAGGAGCCCTGACATATATATATATATATATATATATATATATATATATATATATATATATATATATATATATATATATATATATATATATATATATATATATATATATAATAAAGAGAGATTAATGTAAAGTACAATATTGAAACTATAATAATTCTATTACACCCCCTCAAGCTGTGCGGGAGAAACAACGCGCGGATTGTCTTTCAAAAAATGAAAACGCTGACTAGGTAGACTTTTAGTGAAAATATCTGCCAACTGTAAATGAGTAGGAACATGTTTGACAATAAGATCTCCATGAGCAACACGTTCACGAACAAAGTGATAATCAACCTGGATGTGTTTACTCCTAGCATCCTGAATAGGATTAGCAATCATATACGAAGTTGAAACATTGTCACGTAACAATTGCACAGGTTCGATTATAGGAAAACCGAGCTCAAATAAAACAGATCTAATGTGCAATGTATCCTGAACAGTGTATGCAATAGCTCGATACTCAGCTTCTGTAGAAGACTTGGACATAGTGGGTTGCTTCTTGGACTTCCAAGAGATAAGATTAGGGCCCAAAAATATCGCAAAACCTGTTGTGGACCGAGAAGTATCAGGACAACCGGCCAATCAACATCTGAATATGCTATAACATACGTTGGTTTGGCCGAGTGCTGAAGCCATAACCCATGGTCACATGTGCCCTGTAAGTACCTGAAAATTCTTTTGACTGCAAAAAGATGAGTAGTACGGGGATCATGCATGAACTGAGACACTAAGTGTACTGCATACGTAATATCAGGCCGTGTCAAAGTTAAATATTGTAACGCACCTACCATGTTGCGGTACTCAGTGGAGTCCAAGAGCAACTCACCATCAGATAAGGATAGAGTAGTACGAGATGCTAACGGAGTGCGAACAGGTTTAACCGTATGGAGATGAAACCGATTAAGAAGATGAGAAATATACTTGGTTTGAGTGAGGAACAGACATGTGTTTGACCGATGGGCCTCAATCCCTAAGAAATAATGTAAATTACCTAGATCCTTCATGGCAAAATGCTTAGAACTAATAGAAATAAAGTGGGTAATAACCGACTCAGAATTACCAGTAATAATAATATCATCTACATATAATAATAAATAAAAGATAGATTTATTATGGCGATAAATGAATAGAGAATTATCAGATTTGCTACAACAAAAATTATGTTGTAGAAGAAAGCTACTAAACCTATGGAACCATGCCTGTGGTGCTTGCTTAAGCCTATAAATGGCCTTACGCAGACGACAAATATGATTAGGAAATTGAGGATGTATAAAACCACGGGGTTGACGCATGTAAACTTCCTCAGTAAGATGACCATGTAAAAAGGCATTTTTAACATCAAGTTGACGTATCGTCCAACCAAAGGAGACAACAAGAGTAAGAACAATACGAACCGTTGTGGGCTTAATGACAGGACTAAAGGTTTCAGAAAAATCAATGTCAGTCTGTTGATTAAACCCCTGTGCAACTAACCGAGCTTTATGGCGCTCTATGGACCCATCAGAATGATACTTTGTTTTATAAATCCACTTACATCCAACAATGTTCTTAGTATTGTCAAAGGACACCAAATCCCATGTATTATTATTAATGAGAGCATTAAATTCATCGGCCATTGCCTCTCGCCATTTGGACTGTTTATTAGCCTCAGTAAAGCAAGTAGGGTCTACTGAATTAACAATTGTACTGAAATTAAAAATGGGGTTGGGTTTAAAAATTCCCGCCTTGGCGCGGGTTTGCATGGGATGTATGTTAACCAACGGAGATGGTGCCACAGGGCTTGGTGAGGGACTGGCCGCAGGCGTACTAGGTATGGTATGTTCACGAGATTCATGGAGGGGAGTCCTAGGGGCTGACGCGGAGGTGGAGGATAACTGGGAAGTCGGGCTAAGAACTGTCAGTGACGCAGGGGACGACACGAAGGAGGGAGAGGAGAGATCGGGCTGATGAACTGGCGATGGAGGGGTACGACTGGGCGATAAAGAACGAGAATAGGGATTGGTCGCAGGCAGTCTAGGATTGAGTGATGGTGGCGTGATGTGAGAGGGAGGTAAGACCATGCTGGTTGCGGGGAATGGTAAATCTAATGGAGGATGGTCAGTAGAGGAAGACGGTGTATGGGTGACAGACGGGGGAAGTGTTTTAAAGGGATAGATGTCCTCATGAAACCTAACGTGACGACTGACATAAACACGACTAGTAAGAAGATCAAGACAACGGTAGCCCTTGTAGCCTGATGCATAGCCAAAAAACACACATTGAACAGATCGAGGAGAAAGTTTATTAGCCGAGGTGGCTGAAAAATTGGGGTCACATGCGGAACCAAAAACACGCATAAAGGAATAGTCTGGATCTTTGTGAAACAATTTTTGGTATGGTGAAAGGCCATGTAAAATAGGAGAGGGTAATATGTTAATGATATATGCAGCAGTAAAGAGGGCATCTACCCATAATTGACTCGGTACTGAGGCTTCGAGAAGCATAGTACGAGTTAATTCTAGGAGATGTCGATGTTTGCTTTCAGCAACCCCATTTTGTTGGGGTGTGTAGGGACATGATTTTTGAAAATAAATTCCATGATTTAAGAAAAATTGCTGCATATTATGATTAACAAATTCTCCGCCACCATCACTTTGAAAAATTTTAATTTTCTGATTAAAAAGATTTTCAACCAAAATTTAAAATTTTTAAAGTGCATAAAAACTTCACTTTTGTGGTGCATGGGATAAATCCGGGTAAACCGAGAATAGTCATCAATAAAACAAATATAATATTTGAAACCCAAATTAGAATAAACCGGGGATTGCCACACATCAGAATGAATAAGTTGTAACGGAAGAGAACACTTATGACTAGCATCCGTAAAGGGTAAACGTTGGGATTTTCCTAGTCTACAAGCAACACAATCATGGGTAAAGGGGAGAATGGTTACATAAAAATTGTTGTCGTTTAAGAAACTTCAAAACATTGTCACCACAATGACCTAGTCTACGATGCCACACAGGGCCAGAAGCTAAAACAGAAGCAAAAGCTAAAGATGGAGATGACGGCAAACGGATAGGATAAAGAGGTCCATTACTGCTCGCACGCAGAAGCACCGTCCCCGAGGCTTTGTCCTTAATAAAAAAAGAATTTTTATCAAAAATGATAGTACAATTGTTATAAGCACACAATCTTTGAATAGAAATTAAATTATACTTTAATTGAGGCACATGATAGACAGATTTTAAAGTGAGACAACGACCAGATGAAGGTAAAGCAACATCACCAACATGACAAATGGGTAAATGGGCACCATTAGCAACATTAACAGAATTATAGCCAGTGTAAATAGATTTATTAATTAAATTACCATCTGATGCAGTCATATGAGCGGAAGCTCCCGAATCGGGATACCACGAAGCCGAATTAGATTCGCCAGAGTTAGTCAACAAAGCTGCATTAGAGGGCTGTGAGAAACGTGAGGGGCAAGCAATAGCGGAGTGACCCGCAGAAAAACAAATCAGACACACAACAGGATGGGGAACTGCCCCAAGAATACCCCCATCTGATGATAAGCCTTCCGAACCAAAGTTAGTAGCACAAATAGGTAAGGTATAAATATTTAAATGTGACACCGTAGAATTACAAAAAACAGTACCCATAATAGGAGCACCCCCTGCCGAAGGACCACCGACTGCAGCTGGAAGTATAGGCGGCGGACCGTACTGGGGGTACCATAGTATCGGCTGGCCGTACTGCACCGGTTGTTGACCGCGTCCCCGTCCATGGCCACCACGTCCTCTGCCACCACGTCCACATCCACCACGGCCACGCTGAGGATATCCCGGAGGACGCTGTGGCTGCTGGGCAGCAGGTTGTTGAAGCTGCGGATGCACCTGCGGCTGGTGACCAGGCTGCGGCCCATGTGCACCGAAAGCCTAGTGGACAGATGTATTCTGCTGGGACCGAAGGTAGTTGACGCGCTGCTCGAGTTCCAGGAGGTGATTTCGAAGGGTCTCAAACGGAAAATTTTGAGGGAAGAGAGACACTGTGGTGAACAATGATTCATACTCCGGGCCAAGTCCCATAATAGTGCTTTTCGGCAAATCACGGGAAGAAACGGGGCAATTAATGGTAGCCAGATCATCTGCCAAGGTTTTGATTTCTCGCAAATAATTGTCCATGGATTGTTCATGATTCTTTTTAATTTGTGAGAACAAACGTTGTAATTCCATTGACCGAGCCAAACTGGCAGACATGAATCTAGATTCTAACCATTCCCAAATTTCAAAAGAATGTTTAAGATCCCTGACATCAATGAGAATATCCCGAGAAAGGGTTGCAAATAACCAAGACCGGATGGTTTGATCAATTCACAATCAGATAGAAAATTCATGATTGGGAGATTGACAGTTGAGAATATCAATGGAATAAGCTGGAGGTACCTGAAGAGATCCATCAACCATGCCTAGAAGTCCTTGCGAGACCAGAAAAGATTCAAACTGAGTTTGCCACGTAGTGTAATCTTCCACAGCCAGTAATTTTATAGTAACAATATTGGTTACATTCGTAGCCATATGAGAAATTGTCTGGGCTAATTCGAACAAAGGAGTCCCAACCATGGGTGTTGCTGCTGACCGAAGAGGTGGGACTGTAAGAACTCGAATCCAGCTCAAGTCTCAGCTTTATATCCACAAAGGATACCAATTTCACCACTGGAATCAACAAAGGGAGGATATGGGCAACGACCAACAAGGTTTTCCGGCCAATTCGTCCGAGCACCCACAGAGAGGCTATAGGTGCAAAGGAGTGGAGATGCTAGGGTTCGGCTCGCTCCTTTCCATCGGCAGGGAAGGAAGAATATATAGGCCAGGCTCATTCACAGGGATGGTAAGACTTACCATAAACAAAGATACACAGGTTACACGCAGAAGGAAAGCGGAAGAAGGCAACAAGCGTGTAAAATGGATGAGCGAACAAGTAGGAGAAATAAATATGGGCCGGATGCAACGGGTAAATTGGACTTATGGAAACCGGGCCAATACCAACACATTCTCCACCTTATTAGACCCTAGTGGTGTAGAGTCAGAACTCTAATACATACATGAGACTCATCATCGCTGGATTGCCCGAATGATCACAAAGACACATTCAGGCAAAAGGGTAAGATGACCAGGCAACTTATCCGCAATCAATGTTTAACGTGCGCTTGCACGACAACAACTTTTCGACAGAGAGACATTTAGTCCCCATGCCAGCAAGATTAAATTCAGATGGAATTTTAATCAACTTGATATCACCTGCACTTATAATATCACGAATAAAATGAAATCTAACATCAATATGCTTAGTTCTATCATGAAAAACAGGGTTTTTGCACAGTTGAATAGCAGATTGACTATCAGAAAACACACAAATGTCCTGCTTAAGACTACCAATCTCCGTTAGGAGACGTTTAAGCCAAATGGATTCCTTAAACGCTTCGGTAGCGGCCACATACTCGGACTCAGTAGTGGAGAGGGCAACAATGGGTTGAAGTTGAGACTTCCAACTAATGCAAGACCCGCAAAGGGTAAACACATAAGAGGTCGTGGACTTCCTATTGTCTCTATCGTTAGCAAAATTCGAGTCCACATACCCACTCAACTTAACACCCTCAGAACACCTAGTGAAAACCAACCCATGATTAACAGTAGTTTTCAAGTACCTAAGCAACCACTTAAGAGCATTCCAATGAGGTAAACCAGGATTAGACATATACCTACTCAAACAACTAACAACATAGGCAATGTCAGGTCTAGTACTCACCATGAGGTACATCATGGACCCAATAGCATTGGAATAAGGCACAGATTTCATTTTAGCAATTTCAGGAGCAGTCTTGGGAGACTGATCCTTACTTAACACAAAGTGGGACGCCATAGGGATAGAGACGGTAGTAGAAAAATGCATGTTATATTTACTCAAAATCTTTTCAATGTATGAAATCTGATTGAGTACTAACACACGCTTACTCCTATCCCTAACAATGTTAATGCATAGGATCCTCTTGGCATCACCTAGGTCTTTCATTGCAAAGTTCTCACTGAGACGCTTTTGCACACCCTTAATGGCGTCACCCGAAGGCCTAACAATCAACATGTCATCCACATAAAGCAATAAAAATACAGGCACAGAAGAAGTATTTTTAAAGTATAGGCAATGGTCGCACTCGGACTTGTGAAATTTCAAAGATGACATGCACTGGTCAAATTTGATATTCCACTGCCTCGGGGACTGCTTCAGGCCGTACAAGGCCTTCCTAAGCAAACACACATGATTACTCTTCATGGGATCCACAAAGCCCTCAGGCTGGTTCATATATATTTTCTTGTCTAAATCACCATGCAAGAAAGCAGTGGTGACGTCCATTTGCTTCATTTCCCAATCATTATGAGCAATAAGAGCAAGCATCATTCTAATCGTAGTGAATTTAACAACAGGAGCAAAGATTTTAGCATAATCAACACCTTCCTTTTGAGTAAAACCCTTAGCTACTAACCTAGCCTTATATCTAATGTCGTTAGGCTCTTCCTTAACCTTAAATAGCCACTTACACTCAATTACGGAACTATTGGGCGGTCTAGGAACTAACGTCCAAGTCTTATTCGCTCTAAGTGACTCCATCTCACTCTCCATGGCGCAAAGCCATTTAGCGGACTCATTAGACTTAAGGGCCTCCCTATAGGTTTTAGGTTCGTTAAGCTCAAGGGTCTCAAACACAGAAAAGGCAAACATAGAAGTATCACACGCATGGAAAGCAAAATCAGGCATGCTATCAGCAGTTCTCCTAATTGGGACAGTAGATGATACCCATGGCGAGCCAACGAACGTAGGGCCGGAAAAAGAGCTGCCTGAGAAAGGAGGTGGCTCCAATGGTACTGGCTGTACCAAAGAGGGAGGCTGCCATGGGAACGTCAGTGGCATATTATGAAAAAGGGAATAGGGTAGGCTACGAAACGGTGAGATGTAGCTGGAGGAGAAGGTGACGATGTATTCCATGGAGGATGACTGCGGCATGCCTACTGGGAAAGCCTGACCGACCGAGACGGGTGTAGTTGAAGCCATCGTGATGGCAGTAGTTGAAGAGGGAATGACGCCGTTCACGGTGGATAGAACCACCGTAGGGGAGGAGGCGGCAGTGTTAGCCGACGAACTCATGCGTGCGGATTAGGGTTGACGAAGAGAGAGAATTTTTTTTAGGGTTTATTCTGTGCTCTTGATACCATGTGAAATAATGGAACATGATACTCTCTAAGGAGCCCTGGCAGATATATATATATATATATATATATATATATATATATATATATAATAAAGAGAGTTTCATGTAAAGTACAATACTGAACCTATAATAATTCTATTAAATACTCTCTCAAATAAATACGTAAACCTTCAACCTTGCAACGTGGATCAAAACATGAAGCAATTAAATATATAGTTGGAATTTCAGAGTAATACGCTACCCACTTACTTTTCACAGCAGTAACGCTAGTGGCCAATATGAGATGAAGTTGAGATTCATACAAGTTAGCAACAATATTAATAGCATAAATAAGGAATAAAGAAGTTGTTGTATAGTATACACCTAATAGAGCGTCTGATGTGGTATTGAATTCCCCAAACAGTACTAAAACTTTGTTATGTGCTTCCCAATGTTGTGGAAATAAATGTATGTAAGAGATGTTCTATGATGCGAAACTCACTGGCAACTCCTTATATTTTACAGTTGCTCTTAACAATTTAAATGTAGAGTTCCACTTGTTAGGAATATCATGAGGGAGCCGCATTGAACGCATTACATTGCTCATGCAATACCTTCCCCACTGTTTATGTAAGTTGGGACGAGCCCAAATGTGTGCGACAACATTTCTAATTGGCAAAATTGAGTTGGAAAGACCAGCCAAACCACTTTGCACACATAAATTTAAAATGTGACAAACACTCCTTTGGTGGAATAAATTTCCACCAAAACAAGGACCACACAATTGACGAAGTTCAGGCATCGCTACTGTGTTAGCCGAAGTGTTATCCAATGCAATATCAAAAAAATTCTTTATTGCAGTGTACTTCTCAAATATCAACTACAAAAAATTATAAATATTGGGGGCATTGTGAGATTCATCAAATAAACGAAATGCAAGTAAACGTTTATTTAACATCCAGTTGGAATCAATATAATGACAAGTAACACCCATACATGAATGACTTTGCCATCTATCCTACCATATATCCGCACATACCGTCAAGCTAGCGACCTACATAATTGGTTAAATAATCAATTAATTTTAGTTTCTGTATATATAAATTATAAAGTGTCCGCCTTGCTATGGTACGTGAAATCCTACAAGCTTGCAGATTTAAGGCCTTCTGACAGTACTCCACAAAAGCGGGACTTTCGATCACATGAAGAAAATGATAGAGAATCTCTAGTCATATATTGGGTGTGTTCTTTTCTGTTATTTTTTGTCGCTATATTTAAATGAAGAATTTTGAGAAGAAGAAAAATACATTGACATTGATGGTTGTGATGTGTTAAAATTTACCTTAGGACCTGCATGCTTTGAGTCAGTATGCCTTTCGATCATAGGTTCCAAACCCACCAGATTTGCTCCATTGTTGCAATAATTGCATTTCACTTCGGAGATGGTACCGTCGGCGAGCTTGACCTTTAGTTTCTCTCTAATGTTCGCGTGCCCCTCTTCACCAGTATTTGGTTGACCCCCTTCTTGGACTTTGAGAGGGTCTTCCGATTCATGCATAAGGTTGAGGGTAGGGTCAGGGTACTCGATAAAAAATGGATTTAGTTGAGTGTACTCTACGTATTTTGTGGAGGATCGTAATTAATGATTAAAGGAGATTGAAAATTTTGTGGAGGATCGTAATATACTGCACTAGTATGAGCTTTTATAATATTTCTGTTGAACTCCAACGATTGGAAGCTTGAGCCTGAAGGAGTGTAGCATTAAAAAACATGGGTACCTTCATAAATTTTTAGGAAATTTATAAAAGTGCACTGGTGCTTTAAGAGGAATCCTACTCTGCTTGCTAAACTTTTATTCAAAAAACACTATAATAATGAGGGGGCATATTGTTTTTTGTCCACTTGTGATGTTTGCGCATGCAACATGCATGGCTCCTACCAACTGACCCTACCATTGCTTTACAGATGTCAACACCTTTGTTTTTTTGAAAAAAATAAAAAATACCGGATACAAAAATCCCAAAAACCGAACCGCCCCTCATAGCCGCAGGTTATAAACCTTGGACTCTGACCGGTTTTGATTCCGGTCAAACTGGAAACCGGGGACAGGTTTAACCAATTACATATTTCCTATCTAACTCATCTCAAAGGTCTTTGACCGTCTCATGGATAACGCAATAGAGGTGACTACATATTGGATAAATCCATTAGAATCACGCCTTTTGCAATTAATTTCGTTCCTCTCGCCCCAAATTGCATGACGTTGAAGACTTCTGGGATATGTCTTGACAACTGGGGGACACACTGGCATAACCACTGAAGGAAACCCTTGGTGATTGATGAAGCGGACCAGCTCACTGGTCGTCGACTCACTCTCCCATATGTTGACCCCTCGTGGTAAACAAAAAAAAGCAAACCGGAGATGATTATCAAAATTTTCATGTGTTGTTGCCAACACTTGAAAAAATACCTAGATTTTTTTGCAGACATTCGGATTAAATCAATCCTTTGCGAGACATTGACAATGTATTCATGTGTGTCTCTAGAATTAATCACCTACACAAATTAACATTATTTGTAGAGAAATCATTCACATTATTCTCAACAATAACGTTTTTAGAAGCAACAACATTTTCCAAATTTGCCATCTTTTGATTTTCCAAAACTTGAGAAATAATATATTTCTTCAAAATTGTTAGACAGATAATATTAAGATGGTGAGTTTAGCGAGAAAAAATCTAGAGTAATATAAATCATCAAACACATCACCAAATTTTAGAATGAATAAAATAGCAATAAAAATTAGAAAAGATTATATTAAATAATAATAGAAGCTAAAAAAAATAGAAATTAGTTCAAATAGGACTAAAACTATGGCAAAAACCTAAAATAGGACTTGCTATGTTTTTGTTCCAAAATAGGACCATATGAGTCCTATTGGAAACATACCTGTTTTTGCATTCCATTCTTACCCTTCCATTAAATATGAATTAAAAATAGTCAAAAGTCATAATTAAATGTTTAATTCATAATAAATTCGAAAAAAATTCAAAAATTCGTAGAACTATAATTAAAAAATTTATAAAATGTTGATAAAATAAAAAATTCAAAACCTTTTTTTTAAATAATTTTATTTTTAAAAAAATTAATAAAAAATAGTAAAACTCCGTAAAAAAAATTTAAAAAATATGGATGCCTTTCCCACCGCCTGTACTACCTCCCAGCACCAGCACCTCTGGCCGATGAAAAAAATGCCATTTTCCCAGAAAAATGCCATTTTTTTTTTCTGAAAATGCCAAAAAAGTGGCATATTTCTCTTTTCAAATGCCAACATTTTCATTTCTCTTTTCATAAATATGGCATTCGTAATGAATTTGGTATTTTTTTCCCCTGGTGACTGGAGGTGGTGGTGCTGAGGCGGCAGAGGCGGCGGCGATTTTTTTTTTTTGAGTTTTTATTTTTTTTAATTTATTTTTAATTTTTTTTAATTTTTTTAATTTTTTGAAAAAAAAATAATTAAATTTTTAATATCGAAATGTTTTTCTTAATTTTTTAGTATTTTTTACGAATTTTTATTATTTTTTATTATTTTATTAGGAATTAAAACATTTTAATAGCTATAAGGGTATAATTGTCCAAGGTACACATAATTAGTCCTATGCAAACATAGTTTATTTTTTGGTCCTATTTGTGAAAAGTGAATGACTTTTAGTCCTATTTTGATAATTAACTAAAAAAAAACTTATCACCAGATCACCCATTGAAACGGATTAGCCTTGAAGAAAGATAGTATCCATATTCTGATAGCTACTAGAACGGGATTGACCAACTCGCACTCATGATAATCTTACACCGTTTCAGACTCGTAGTTACCCTGACTCAAATTTTCAACCACTGCCCATAATGCAATTTTAGTAGAGATGCACTTAGAAAGACGTCAAATATGAAAAGGACCACTATGGATTTTCTCTATCCTAGAGAAAAGCAAAACAAAGAAAAAAAGAATGAATCAACTTGCTTTTCACATATAGAGAATGAGGACTATATAAAGGTGAAGTCTTGTCTTATGTAATATTTGTATGCAATGGAGAGAGGGAGACTATTCATACGCGTATTTTCTTTAGAACTCAAAAGTAATCCATATAAACATAAAATGGGAGAGAAAGTTTTACTAGTACATTACTTTACATGATCCGTAACAGTTGGATAGTAAATTGTGCTTGACCCAACCATCCTTACTCACACTCGTTGAGATTTGAATTTTGAAACACATGGAATAAATAATAATGATAATTATGTTCTCCCAATTTTAGCACAATAAATCCTTTCATGATCTACCGAGCACAAGATTTGTGACTAAAACAAAACTAACTTAGGGGGTGTCCTCAATTAGAATTTCATAAGATTGTAAAGGATTAAGATTTTAATATATTTTAATGAAATTCTATAGAATCCATGAGATTCTAATGAAATCCATTAATCCATGAAATTTGAAATCCCCTCATTCACACACTTAACCTCAACACCACCACTGATTCCTTCCTCCACATGCTACTCCTTTCATTTTTCATTTTTCATTTACCCCAGTGCCGCAAAGGCTCCCACCTACGGTGGGGTAAGGGGGGGTCGGATGTACGCAGTCTTACCCCTGTACTAAAGCACAGAGAGACTGTTTCCGGATGACCCATAGTGAAAACCGCGTTCAAAATTGCATGAGCTGACTGCTCCTCCACATGCTACTCCTCTCATCGGAAATCTCTCAAGTTATCTTCACAAAATACCAATAACTTCTCTGATTGCCAACGTCACTATACTGATTCAACTCCCATTCAATAGCTCCTCAAGCAAAGTTGCCTGATCCAATTAAATCTGGGTGGAAGAGGAAGCAGACTGAATCCGGAAAATCTGTTCCAAGAAAACTAGGACCTCAAAATTTGGGGAAAGCGGGTTTATTACAAGAAGGTTGTATACAAGAAAACTAGGACCTCAAAATCTGGGATGATGTCTACATGAAGAGGGAGGAGGTGAGTTCTAAATATGAAGATCGAGAATGTGGTTTAAGATGAATGTTCGAACTTGTTGAACGTGGTTTGCCTCGGATGAGATGAGATGGATTTTGAAATGTGAGGGGGTGGATATATTTTGGATGTAATATTTTAGGCATATAAATCTGCTAGAATCATTTAAAATCCATTAGAACAACTAATAATTGAAATCCATGGAAAGATTGAGGACACACATATTTTAATGGAATACATTGAAATCCAAATTGAAAACACCTGGATTGTGATGGAATTCTAAATTCCTTTAAAATCCTTTAAAATCCAGATTGGGGAGACCCAACTTAAAATACAGTATGATAGTTGAATTATATTCGTTATCATACGCTCCCTCCCTCCCACTATAATTGTCCCATTTTTCTACTCCGTTCGTCCCACTAAATTTGTCTCATACCATATTTGATAATATTTGTGTGACTCTAAATCATTCTTACGTTATTCTCACTTTATCAATTCATTATTGATCACATAACTTTACTTTTCTTAAAAATCACACCACTCTCATTTGTCCCAATCTTAGAGAGATAGGGGTAGTATTATTTAAAAATAAGTATAAAAAATTACTTGCGCTTTAAATAGGATAATTAAATTTGCCACTTTAATATTAAAGTTTTCAACCTTGTTAATTATGAATTCTAATCATTATATAAATTGTATCCAAACATGAAAGTCAATATTTGATGTATCACTATAATTTTCCTTTTCATATTTTATAGATTTATGCCTTATGACTCATAAATTGAGACCCTTAGTAATATGTTGTTTCATCATATTTCCAACAGGGAAATATTACTTCTCAATTAACAATATTGGAGACATTAACTAGTAATGTAGAACAAATTGGAGAAACCATCAAGAGTGATGTCGTCTAGCTTCATGGTAACACCTCCTTTATCTCCAGATGGGGATATGTGATAAATTCTTCAGGGCGCTGGTAAGAAGGACCGTGCGCGAACTCCTAAGTTATTTCAATGACATGACTCACTCTAAATAGATGGCAAGGATACACAGTATGCATTTACATTACCATCTTGATGGTAGAGACACATAGTATGCATATACATTACCATTTTGATGGTAGGGAGCCGTTTCATGGCAATTAAACATGTAATTGTGTGTTGCATTATTCACCGCAGGGGCGGCGTACGTCGCAACCACTGAAGCTTGTAAAGAGATTTTGTGGATGGAGAACATTTTGCTGAACTTGGGAATAGATCAAGAAAGGTACACGTTGAAGTGCGATATTCAAAGTGCAATTTAGTTGATGAAGTCAGCATTTCATTCTCGTGCGAAGCACATTGTCACAAAGTATCATTGGATCTGAGAAGTTTTTGAAGAAAAGAGAATACATCTTGACAAGGTTCACACAAATGAGAGCTGGTCTGACATGATGATCAAAGTACCGACAAGGAAGTTTGAAGATTGATATCAAGATGTCAATTTGCATTTGCCCTCAATCAACTTGAGAGGGAGAAATTTGTTGGGATTCAGCCCTCCTCAACTAGACAGGTTGTAGAAGATTATAGAGCTTTCTACGGAAGTGTAGAATATTTTAGAACGTTCTGGAGATATCTAGAGAAGTGTGAAATCTCTAGAAATTTGTGAAATAGTATGGAACCCTCTAAAATATTATGGAGTTGTGTGGAATCTTACCGAATCTTATGAAAGAGTATAGAAGGGTATGAAAGGGAAAAGAGATGTGTAGAGACTCCTTAGAGTTGTGTGTATATGAAGACATGTGTAGAAAATTCTAGAAAACTATTTGCCAACATTCACAGTGGAAGTGTAGTAGTATAACCAGGGGCATGAGTCCTCATTCCTACCCACCTCAATTAAGAGAATAGTTACTTCTAGGGTGAGAAAGTAGGTAGTGAGAGATTTTATTTGAGAGAAGAGATAGTTTGAGAAGACATCATCCTCAAAGTTAAGTGAACTCAAAAGTGAGTCGATTTTGTAAACACATGTTTTTAACCCTACTATCAGTTTGTATGGTGAAAAAATTTCCATGATGGAGAACGTGTACTCTCATCATTAATTTTGTAAACACATGTTTTTAACCCTACTTTATTTACATTCAATGGTTATCTCCGTTAAATTCCAACGACAATTTCTACATTTCAATATGTGGCCTTCGAACTTTAATTATTATTGCTTTAGTTTACATTCAATGGTTTTTTATTTACATTTTGTAGATGATAAAAAACAATTTTATTTAACTTTTACTTTTTCTCTTTGAAATGAAGCAATCTGACACAATTTACATTGTTCTTTTCATATTTTTTTTATTGTTTATTGCTTACCATACAATTATTTCATTTAGACCAGATCAGAAAAAATTGTTTTATATCGGATCAGATCAGAAAAATTCTTTTCGTATTACAAAGACCGAGATCATATCAGATCAGAATGATACATACCAGGTTACAAATTTTCAGACATGCTTTATTATTATTACTATAATAATTATTATTATTATAATCAATAATATTATTTTTATTATCAATATTAAGAAAAGTGAGTTTTATTGTTCATATTCAATTTATAAAGTAAGAAAAAAGTAGAATCACACAATTCAAACTTTATCAAACTTAGTATGCGCTAAGCTTAGTGGGACAAAGCGAAAAGGAAATATAGAAGAATCTTAGCAGAAATGCATGGAGTACTTGGGATCGAGTTGAACGTGGCGGTAGTGGTGATCTAACATCTCAACCATGTTCATAGTAATCCTATATTTATACACATAGACATATACCCATATATGAAGTGTGAGATCAAAATTGTGTCTCCATATGTTCATATTGACATTTCCATTTGACACTTATGCCTTTGCAATAAAGGTAACATAGAGAAAGGTTTAATTTCAAATTGACCATTTGGTGCCATTCAAAGAAGAACTTTATTAAGAGCCTCTTTGGTGATCATATTTTTCAACTTATCAACCCTATGAGTAAACTTTTCATCCAACACGTAACTTTTGATTTCAAGTGTTAAATTGTATAATAATCAAAATAAGTAAGGTAGAGTTACTTTTCAGGCTAAATTGGCTTAAGTTATTATAGATGATCATTGTAACTATTTTCATATAACCTTATCTTTATTTTATTAATAAAATACATAGTATATTTTAATGATATTTGGAAATACAATCACTTATTTGATATTTTGATACTACTTTTTGATGAATTAAAGAACTGAATTTTCATTGAAAAATTGCTCTATATCACTTTTGGTCTATTATATGTTTGGATAGTTGGTATTATTAAAAGTAATTTCCAAAGTATGTATTATTCTTGGTTCATGGAAGATAGTTTGTATTATTTAAATTTATTTTACCTATATTTTTTTTTTATAATTTAACGGAATCAATCAATCCATTCACTTCAGTCGATTCAACCAATTTCAGTGTTATCAAATGGGATCTAAAAGGTCTGACTACTAAAAGTTTTATTACCTATTAACCTCTAAAAATCTCATGTACATTATATATTTACTTAGGGGATGTTTGGATTTGATTCTTAAAACTTCTTCTGCTCCTTCAGGGAGCAGAAGCAGAAGTTGAAGTGTTTGGGTAAAAGTGCAGAAGTGATTCTGGTGCTCTAATTTACTCCTAGAATCAGTTTTTTTAGAAGCTGGGGGTGACCAGATTCTGAAAACTGATTCTGATTCTGATTCTGCTTCTATTTTAAAAAAGAAGCAGAATCAGAATCAGTTCCAAATACCCCTTATTGTCCAAATAACCATAGTCTATATAGTATACTCACACTTTAAAATGAACAAATAAATATTCAACAAATAATACATTCAAAGCTCACTTATTATCCTACTATAGATGTTACATAATCAAATGTCTAAGTTAAATAAAAATCATTGGGCACTATTCCAACCGCGCAATGCGCGAAAAAAAACTAGTATTACACATAAGAGATAAAAACAATTACTCCGTGCTACATATTTTATTATGATACTCAGTTTTTCTCACAATTAAGTTTTTAGTTTGAATTTACAAATTTTAGTTTAATTAACTGTTTTATTGACCTTTTAAGTATGTATTTCACCAAAAGTCTGATAGGAAAATTACATATTAATGTACTTTTAATAAGACTGAAAGATGTTTTGGGCTCTCAAATATTGCAAATACAAAAATGAAAATTGAATTTTGGGATATTCGAAAAGGGGAGTGTGTATTGGGAGTGGAAATAGAGAAATCTAAAAAGGGGAAAGTACTCAAAATAGATAAGTAGGAGATTTCATTAATATTACTTTTTAAATGTTGTAGAAAAAAATATTATTTAATAATTATTAATGACTATAATTGTATTCAAAATTTACATCGTAGTAACATACATGTAATTACTATAATAAAAATTTAAACACAATTATAGTCACTAATAGTTACTCCCTCCGTCCCAAATTATTTTGTAAAATCAATATTTTTTGGTCAACCAATAATAAAAGTCAATCCTCCCTATTGATAAATAATTGAATTATTAATAAGTAAAATTTACATATTCATAAACTTCATTAAAATTTCTTCAAACTAGTGAACTTCAGATTATAATATAATAAAAAATTGACATCCTAATTATGTGAATAAAACAAAATTTTTTGACAAAAAAAATCAAATTTGCAAATCAATTTAGAACGGAGCTAGTAATAAGTAATATTTATGTCCACGATTTTTTTATTAGTACTACATAATATTTAAGGATATCATGAAAGGAAATTGTGTTAGGAAAAAATCCATTTATTATCGCACTCAGCCACTCGAACTCAGATTGCTTATGGAAAATGGAAATCAGCGGCCAAATAGGCTTCCATTTTTGGGATTGTATTCTCATTCACGCGACCCGATCAACTACTCCTCCTATACTTGCATCCATACATACACAAGCTAATACGTACGTATACAGTATTCCCGAATTCTCTTCTCGAGATTGCCAAATGCCAAATCTTTGACCTCCTCTCCCTTCCTCTGCATTCAAACGCGCGCGATCTACATCTCTCCCCACCCGTATTCACGAAATGGCGATGGAGGCTGCGGAATCCAACCACGACTCATCTGCCGTCGACGAGCAACACGAGGAATCTTCGCCTCGGAATTCATCGCCTCCTCCTTCGTCTCCTCCTCCTACTAATCAAGGTTTGCTCTTCACTCCTGCTTTTATGTTCTCGTTGTACTGATGTGCATTGTTTTCCACTCCTGGATCTGCTTATGAATTTTGACGTATTTGAATTTTGTGAAAATGTGAGTTTAAGATCCGGACTTTAATATGTTTTTTTTGAATCTGGACAATGTGAGCTAAGTCTCGAGCTGAGAGTCGTTTAGTAGCTATCTACATTGTCCTCAGTGTTACCGGTCAGAATCCCTAATAACTGTTTTCATAGGCTGTTTATATAAACATTTGATGAGTTAATGGATGCATGCATCAATGAATGCTTTATAAAGTACACACACATGACACATACATACTCATATATTCGTCAAATGATTATTTTGAGCTCCTAATGTATTGTGTGTTTTGGAATTTCAGCATTGCTGTTGAGATAGCTTAAGAGTACGATTATTACTTCTTAGCTTTTACTAAATGTCAACATTTGACTCACTTACATTACTCAAATGTGATTCATTCTGACTTTAGTATATAGCCGTTCTAGTAATTAGTTCGTTCAACCACTTCAAAGTCATCTCTATAACCTTAATACAAGGGAGATTAATGAATGGGGATACTTTTATACAGCGATTCTAAATGAAAAGGAATCATCTTCAGATAAATCTCTCCCTCGCAGGATATTAGGGCTCAAAATTAGCATATTCGATCTTTTTTCTTTAAATAGCACAGCATGAATGTACCTATTGGCTATTGTGCAAGTTTAGGAATTTGTTGAGGTTTCTGATATGCTTTTGTATTTTATTGTATTCCAGACACAGAGAAGTCAACTTATGTTAAGTTCCTTCTTTCAAATCCCGAAGCTGGTTCTATTATTGGAAAAGGTGGCACTACAATTAATGACTTCCAATCACGATCCGGAGCTAGAATTCAGTTATCACGCAACCATGAATTTTTCCCTGGTACATCTGATAGGATTGTGATGGTATCTGGGATTGTTGATGACATACTCAAGGCACTTGACCTTATTCTTTCAAAATTACTGGATGAGGTAATTTGTCACTTTCCAATTCATTTCCTCAACTCCTGCCTGCTCTTGGTTAAATGTTCTGTTTTTTCTTGTGACAGTTTTTTGTTGATGAAGGTGGTGATGCTGAGCCACGATCAAAATTTAGATTAATTGTGCCCAATGGTTCTTGTGGTGGAATAATAGGGAAAGGAGGAGCCATCATTAAGTAAGAATCCTATATATGGAATGTCCTATTTGGAATTTATTCCATTGTTTGTCTGACATCTGCAGGCTTTGTGTACCTAGTTTCTCCACATGATTGATTTCCAGTTCTTTCGTTGTTTGCTGTGTGGCTCTTTTCAGTTGGTATTCTGCTACATCATTAACTACATTCACTGATGAGTATTTATTCTGCAAATTTATGCAGTCATATGGACTTGAGCACTTGCCTGCACATGATTGTTTTTCCTTCACCTCATGCGTAGATCTTTGTGTAGGCAGGTGTATTAAAAATAGCCAATTTATCATGAAAGAAATGACAGAATACGGAAGTATATCATACTGTAGTTCCACTTTTATCCCTTGCTAGGCCACTCGTTGCCAATCTGAATATCTATAATACATTATTCATAAAGGGATGGGTGCATTCATTCTTTCATCTTTCCACTTATTGTCTCCGAATAATGAAACCTGTACAGATAAAAATAGTTTATTACTTACTACTGTGATAAAAAATAGATGTTCTGGTAGAAAAGACTGAAAGCGGAGCCGTGTAGTTGAGAGAGATAATGATATGCTCGTACCAGTGTAGTCAAAAGAGAGTGCCTGGGTGCTTAAGCGCACCAGGCAAGGCGAATAGGAGGGTCAGTGCGTGGTAGGCTACCAGGCGCAGCCACCTAAGTGAGGCACAAGTTTTGTGTAAGAAGCACATAAAAGCGTACACTTTAGTCTCCTGAGCTGGGAAAGGCTTGTCAAACTTTTTCTTCCTGTTTGAGCCTATTTTAAATAATAAGTCCATATATATAATAAGATACAGCCCATTGTCCCATCCAAATAATGGGGAAAAACAACTTAAACCCATTTTAATCCTTCTAAGCCACAATAACAGTCTTCTATTATGACCATTGTTATTCTCGCGTGCTCTGTTCACTACTCAGTACTCACGCAACCTATTCAGGCTTGGCGATGAGGAAGGTGACAGAAAAACTTTAGAGGATGTTGGAGAACATAAATCATATAATGGAGAAGAAACGGACTCCTCCTTTAATGAAGAATAATCCTTGAGAGTTTTAACATGGGGAATTTAGCTAGAATCTAATTACGCTTTATTTTTAATTCTATGATTATTTAATTTATGAATTTTGAATTTGGCATTTTGTTTTTGTAAACTGTGACTTTATTTTGGTGACTCATGGTTTTTGTTTTTGAGAAGTATGATTTTTAATGCACTTGGTTCAAATATATGTTACATACATCATGTTTGATAATTGTAGAATAGTATATGTAATATTTTCTTAATAATGCGCCTTACATGAGTCAGGCAAGCGCTTTATTAGTGCCTCAGGCGCTGGAGTGCCGACTCAGGGGCGGAGCTAGGGGGTGCCCAGACTAGGCCCTGGCCCACCCCAAATTTAAAAAATGTCAATATTTTTAGTGTAAAAAATTTCGTGTAAATTTTTTCCAATAATATTCTTTGTACCGGCCCAGTCTGATCCAGTGCCCTGGCTCCGCCCTGAGTGCCGTAGCGTTTGAGTGCGCCTCGTGACTTTGACTACATTGGCTCGTACCTTTTATGGTACTCTGTTTATGTTAGTGCATGATAATACATGGGGTTTCCTTGTATTGTAATGGAGAGTAGTTTCTTACAACTATAACCTTTCTTTTTGTCAATTCTAGATCCTTCCCCTTTAGGTTTGCTTTTCTTTCATAGTTTTGGTGGAAGCCTTTACTATAGTCCCTTATGGCTGTGTAACAATTAACTAACATAACCTACTAAAATTTAAATTGTTTCAATTTCGTCTCTAACATTGGTGCGGTCTTGGGGACCAAATAGGTGTTGTTGAAATGTATATATCAATGAGCCTATAATATCATTGATCGGTCCTGTATTGACCTTGGAGTTGCTGTTGTGAACTTTTTACATTGTTATGCAGATTACTTCAATTGTATATAAGTGAATCCTCTTTCAGCATCTATCATGGTCGCTTCCCATAAAAACTGCAGATGAAGTTAAATGTTTACAGTTTTTCATTTTTGGCGCTCACTTGCAAGAGAAGTTTGTATGAAATAGATGTGAAATGAAACTACAAAATGACTAGACATCTTAATTTAACCAAAAAGTTAGAGAACAAGTAGAGAGAAATAGGCTTCGTGTTTTGTTTTCACTGTGTAATTGAGACCTTTTTGTGTGTGTTCACAAGGTCGCCAAAATAGTGGTTTATACCGTAAGTTACTAAGGTCGCCCAGTTTGAACCAAATTACCAAACACTCCCTTAGGAAGTGGCTGAGAAGATATAGGATGACACTAGGGTTGAAAGAGCAAACGTCTGCGATATTATGGCTTAAATAATACTCCCTCCGTCTCATAAAACTTTGTCACTTTCCCTTTTAAGTAAAGAATTTTTGGTTCTAATTAATTCTCTCTCCTCTGCACAACACTTGACCACAAAGTTTTTACTTTATTATTTTGCCTGCCAGTCAAACATGGCAAAGTTTTAAGGGACGGAGGAAGTAAATAGTTGTGAAACCTGGTATAGATACATATTTCTATGACGGTGAGCAACTTCATAAAGGAGAGCTCTTAAAACATAAATCACTTTACATGTAAAATGTTTATGTTCAAACTAACTGAAGTGAACAGGCAGCAGGCGCTGCTAGACATTATTCAATCACGTTTTCAAACTAACTTGTAATGTTGGTATACCAGATGTCATTAGTTTGCTGGATATGAATTGGTTGTTGGCTTGTTGCTTTACATTATATTGAACACTACTTTTAACTGCTATATAATCATTACTATTTCGTCTTAATTTTTTACTTAAAAATGACGTTGGTATACACATGGTGGCTTTTATTGCAGGACATTCATTGAAGACTCTGGAGCTGGAATAAAGATTTCTCCTCAAGACAATAGTTTACCTGGGTTTCATGATAGGTTGGTGACTGTAACCGGTACTCTTAATGAACAAATCCGAGCTACTGAATTGATTTTGTACAAGTTGGCAGAAGACACTTCATATATGCAGTCCATGAATGCCCCGTTTCCATATTCAGGTCTGTCCTTTTATTTATATCTAGACTTCAGTTTCCAATTCTTTGGTCTTGGTACTATTCTCTGGATGAATACAGTCTTTTGTACTCCATATCTTTTTGTACTCCCTTCCGGAAACAGTCTCTCTGTGCTTTAGTACAGGGGTAAGACTGCGTACATCCGACCCCCCCCCCCCCCCCCCTTACCTCACCCGTAGGTGGGAGCCTTTGCGGCACTGAGGTAAATGAAAATGATCTTTTTGTACTCCCTCCACCCCTTTTTATTTAGCCAAACTTGACTTTTCAAGTCAATGATGTCTAACTTTGACTGATTATATATTCATACACATAAGTTTTGATAATATGAAAATGACATGAAAATGTTCTTTGTCAGAAATACCATCACAGAAGTATAAAATTATTAAATTTTACATGAATATATTAGTTTAAATAATTGATCAAAGTTTACTATCTTTGACTGGAAAAGTCAAAGATGGCTAAATAAAAAGGGACACAGGTAGTAGTCATTATTGCTGCTTTTTATGCATTGGGTTATTTGATAATACTCCATAATCATGTTTACTTAACTTGTTTATTATCAGAGTATGCTTGTTTATTTGAGATTTGTATTGAAATGGTTGTTGAAATTGAAGCACACAATGTATAAATTTCTGTATCAGTTTTCATTGTGAATCTTGTTAAAGTGTCATTCGTCCATGCCAATTCTTCTCTACTACTTGTGCAGCAGCGTATATGGGAATGAACTATGCATCAAATGGAGTTGGAGGGAGATTTCAGAATAACAGATACCCAAACAAGGTCTGACCTTGTTTTTTGAGCTCTTTATCACAAATTTAATTGCTTGTTAAGCTCTCTTGTCTCTTTTCTGGCTTTGTCTGAAACACGAAAAAATGGCAGGGAAATGCATTGTTTTAATGTTAGGCTCGACCTTGGAAAATATAAAGGAAAACCATACCTGTTTAAACTTCTCACACACACACAAAGATTTGTAGATTTCTTAGCCTCTACTCTGTATACAATAATAATAGAAATATATATAAATAAAGAGTGCACAAATACCCAAAACTGATCATTTGAGTTTGAGTCAATTTGATTTTTACTATTCTCCCTCATTATCTCCCCGTCCAAGTACCAAATTTGCTTTCTAGTTTCTTTCATGAGCTTTTCCGATTTCCAAATGGACCCATCATTTCCAAAGTTCTTTGGTCAGTTGCAGGAGGATAGGAGCGACTCCGTGACAATAGGGGTTGCTGATGAGCATATTGGATTGGTGCTCGGACGGAATGGGAGAAACGTCATGGAGATAAGTCAGGTCTGTGGCATCTCTATATAAAGAAAAATGAAATTTCACTTTATTGTAGCCTCATAGGAGAATGAATAGTTGTGGTAAGACCTTTTTTTATTGTTGTCAGCTTAGTGGAGCAAGAATAAAGGTCTCTGACCGGGGTGATTTCATATCCGGGACTTCTGACAGGCAATGAGTGTGATCTGATAGCTCCCTCTGCTTTGTTTAGAGTTGAGATATGCTCTGTTTTTATATTGAACTGTTTTTGCAGGAAGGTAACAATTACTGGCTCCCAAAGATCAATTCGTACAGCTGAGGCTATGATCTCCCGGAAAGTAGCTTCTGTCGTTGAGAGGTGATGGAATGGGCCTTACATTAGCTTGTTGAGAAGGTTGTTCTTAATGGTCACATTCTAATTTGCGGCGAGTCTTGAACTGCTTATCTGAGGCAAGGAGAGCAAGTTTTTATAGAAGCAAATTAAGCTTTTAGGCATAAGTGATCATAATTTATTTAATCGAGAAGGGATATTATTAGTTGGTGGTTGGTACATCTGACAGTAGTGTTATTGAGAATACTTCCAGAAAATAATTATTATTTATAATCTATAATTTTTGAGATACCTAGGGACATTGCATTGGATGTGCCACTATGTATGGGAAGTTTTATTATATTGCTTCTGTACAAAAATGGTTATTGTTATTAAGAATTATCAGCGAATATGGCGTGAAACACAGAAAAAAGGGAGTTTCTTGCTTGAAGTTTACATATTTTTGCAATCTGCACTAGCATACAACTTCAAGTGAAACAGGACAGACTTCACTAGCATACAACTTCACTAGCATATTCAAGACTTTCAAGTGAAGTTTACATATTTTTGCAATCTGCACTAGCATACAACTTCACGTGTAAGAACGTGTGTTTGTTGCAAGCAACCTGCCAGCTATTTATAGGAGGATTTGTTGTGTGTTAAATGAGGTATTAATGGACCTGAACGTTGGACATCAATGACCAGTCCGTTGGGCATTGAATCGTCCATAAACTGTCCATTTAACGTAGCATTAAAAGACAAGAACGTTGGACATTTATTGCTGTAACGGACCAGAAGACCTTCTGTTGCGAACAGAAGGCCTCGAGCGTCTCTGTTGCGAACAGAAGGCCTCGAACGTCTCTGTTCCGAACAGAAGACCTCGAGCGTCTCTGTTGCGAACAGAAGACCTCGAGTGTCTCTGTTGCGAACAGAAGACCTTGAGGGTTTCTGTTGAGTCCTTCTGTTGCGGACAGAATACCTCGAGGGTTTCTGTTGAGGTATTCTGTTGTGTTTAAGCGAATAAGGTGTGTTTAAGTGAATTCTTATATGTAGTACTCCATCCTTATTATCTTTATCACAATAAGTGTTCCACTTTCCTTTTTTAGTCATATAAAAATAACTGTCTTACTTTCATTATAAGAAATAAATCCACCCCAACAACAGTTACAGTTACGGTACATTTTAGTAAAGTAAACAATATTGTTACAGTTTTCCTACTTTTCTAAAAATGGTACAATAAACTTATAAATTATCTTAAATTACGTGAAAAGCCTACTGAGACACTTATTTTAATAGGGAGGGAGAACACTAGTGGTGGACTCGGTTCGGACCGGGCCCGATTCGGGCCTAGAACCGGCCGGGCCTCGGTTCACGGAAGGCAGGCCCGGCCGGGCCGATTCACTGAAATGTAGGTCCGGGACCGAACTGCTTGAAGACCGGGCCAGGTGGCCCGAATCGGGCACCAACCGGTTCACCGGGCCGGTCCGGGCCCACACAGTAGCGGGCCGGTCCGGTTCCGGGCCGGTTGGCCCGACCCGAGTCCATCCCTAGAACACGTAATAATCTCTCGGTGATGTTTCCATAATTCCACGCGACAATTTTTCTTTAGTTGTGAGTTGTGACCTGTGCACTTGTGCGGCTATGGCACCTATTTCTTCCTGGTTAATCAATTATGTAATCTCACTAAACTTGGTCCAAAAGGTGGAATCTCCCACCCCAGGAGCCCCCCATACCCCGACCCGACAGGATTTTTGGGAGGATGTTAATCACGGTGACTCAGTCGGCCCAATGATGGTAGGCCTTTTTTCCCGTGCGCACCAGAGGCCCAGCCTTATTTCAGGTTCTGTGACCTCCACACGGCCGCTGCGGGTTTCGAACCTTGGTCACTTGGTCCAAATTTCCCACCACTGAACCAACTGAGCTACCCGTGCGGGTATAATCTCACTAAACAACACTATTGACAAATGACACCTATTTTGTTTAGTCATGGGTCAATATTACTTCTCATTTAATGGTTCCCTTAGCAAAATGACATGATTATTTAGATAAAAATTAAATGTGCTAATTCGAGTATATTTTGAGAAATAATTTTGATGAATGTTTTTCCAGATTAATGTTAATTAATTAATTAATTACGGAATTAATGTTGGGTTAAAACTATTTACCAATATACTGCTGGGATTAACCCTGATCGCCAAACCATTTGGCAACTTATAAGTCGTCAAACCATTCGACTACTCTCTACTTAATATGGACGTGCGTACAAGGAGACTAAGGGAAGAGGTGGCCAATTTAGAAAATATCCTCTTTTTTCTTTAAATGACTATAACTTTCATATTTTTCTTCCATTTTTTTTAAAACATATACCAAATTTTATAACTTTTTGCGATCTTTCATATGACACCAATATGTAATATATAAATTTTATAACATATCTTGCTCTATTTTGTGTTGTTGAAATCATTTAATATATCGTTGGAAAGATCTTACCGAGTTCTACGTCCAAAGATGATTGACGATGCATAATTGCAATTAGTTTTTCACCCATATGGTCTTCAATTTTTTTTAAACTTTATATATTATATATTGGTGTCATATGAAAGATCACAAAAAGTTATAAAATTTGGTATATGTTTTAAAAAACTTGGAAGAAAAATATGAAAGTTATATCTATTTAAGTAGAGAGTCGCCAAATGGTTTTGCGATTTATAACTCGCCAAACGGTTTGGCGACTTTCCCCGACCAGGATTAATCCCATCATTATATTGGTAAATAGTTTTAACCCAACATTAATTTCGTAATTAATTAATTGACATTAATCTGGAAAAAAACTCAATTTTGATGTGTTATTGATGATAACTGTGATTTTATAAATGTATTTTTTTATTATTTGATGATTAAATTATCATTTAAGAGTGTTAATTATTTCATAAAATAGAAAGTGAGAACCTTTAAGTGAGACATTCAAAAAAAAAGTGAAAACCTTTAAACGAGATAGAAAGAGTATAATATTGACGGGAAGTCTGGAACCTCGATTCGGAAGAAATAATGGGGACGGGAGTTCATTTTGGTCATTACTATGAATATTACAAAGCATAAAGGTTAAAGGTATTCATATTACAAACACTTGATCTTTATTTGAAACTTGTGGTTTGATTTTTGATGCATAAAAAGTAGAGGATTTTTTTATGGATATCAAAATAAATCAGCCAATTTAGTAGCCTGGGCTTACACTAGAGACACTTGCACTAAATATAATTTCTCGGTAAAACATAGGATCGTTCCCTAAATACAAAATACTACTCTTAATATAATTTATCGCCTCCTGATTCCCTAGCGCAACCAAGACAATCTATTGGTGGCGGCCGTCTCAAGAGTTCCCTAATTCCCATAGTGAAAAATAAATATTTGCGAATGGCCATTCAGCTTTTTAGCAAACAAATCTTAAATAGTGATAATCCTTGAAGTATATAATTTTTTACCATTCAAATGAAAAAATATGAGTGATCAGTTTATAATATGCATTTCCAAATCCACTCCGTCGGTTAGGATGATTTTCATTGAACTGATTTTTTGTCTACTCGAGTCTGATCTGGTAGATGTATATCTTATGCATATTTTATTATTTATTATTGTCTTAGTCCGATCCTGTCCAATCCGATGTGATACGATCTGGTCTAATCCGATCCGTTAAAGTACAGTATGATAATAATGACAAAAACATGACATTTCTAAATGCGAAAACATGTCATTTTTAGATTAAAACATGCCATTTTGAAATTCGAAATTACAGCATATTCTTAATGAATTATGATATTATCATATACTCTAAAGACATTTTAGAACAGAAATGTGAAATATGACAAGAAAAGGAAAAAATGAAGAAGTAACTTTGCCGACAAAGTTTGGTAATTTGTCAAAAATGTCAAAAATCTGGTAATTTCTAGTAGGATTGTTAACGAGCCGAGCCAAGCCCGAACACCCAAAGTTCGAGTTCGGCTCGATAAGGAATTAGTGGTGTTCGAGTTCAAGCTCGAAGTTCAGCGAGCTTTACAGATGAGGCTGGTGTTCGGCTCGATAGGAGTTCGATGTTTGAACCGAGCGCTCGATACGCTCGATAAATATGTTCCAATTTTAAATTTTAGGTGATACTCATTAATAGGCTCGTGCTCGAATGATACGACAAGTATTCGGTTCGTTAATAATCATATTTATATTCATAAAATCATACTAATTATATTTAAATTCTGACATATATATAAATTATATTTATAATTTCGAGGTGTTCGATAGGGTCGAGTTCGAACCGAGCCGGATACTACTATGTTCGAGCTCGGCTTGATTAATTTTTTGAACTTAAAACTCAACTCGAGTTCGAGTTCGAAAGCTTGTTAAGTTCAGCTCGTTAGGTTCAAAACCGAGCTCGAACTCGATTCCTTAACGACCCTAATTTCTAGTATTGACGCCTCCAATAAAAATACATAATAATAGAATCCCGATTGGAAAAATTTCAAACAATGGTTGCTAGAGCCTTAAATTATCACATCCAAAACAACTTTTAGATAAAAAATAGCATTTTCATTTAGAATCTAAAAAATGAATAAATAAACTAACAGAAAATAATAAAAATGGAAGATGAGTTGAGAACAAAAAGGAGAAGGAAGAGGACAAATACCTTGGGCAGAGCCTGGATCCAATGAAAGGGGGGCGGAAGTGTTGATACGTTGTTTACACTAAAGTTAATTTATTTTTAACATTTGAATTTGTTTTAAGTTTAATCTTCATTGATTCAATCATATCTCATACTACTATGCAATATATTCTTATGATGAAATAATTACGCATTTACGCCTCTAAAATAGGGCGTGGAATATCAAGTGATTTCCCCCATAAGAGTCACATCAACAAGTACATTGAAGTGGATGAATACAAATGAAAAATAAAAGAAAATAGAGAAAGATGCAATAGTTGTAATCTCATACGGTTTAGGGTGATTGCAATTAAATGCTTCTTAGGTAAGTGAAATTAAAAATAAAATAAAAAAAATTACGAAGTATTTTCTTGAATACGTTACTGTAGATGTAGACTATATTCTGGGGGCTATTAAATGCTGATGGAGTTCCTTTTGAAGAAAGCTCGGTAGATGTAGGATTTTTGTTTCAATCAACCAATATAATCTAACAAAAATATACAAAGTAATACGTAGTATTATAATAATATTTCTTGAATACGTTTGTTTTGTTGATGACTAACCATACAGGGGAACAGCGGATAGAACCGCTCACAGTTCCTTGAGTAACAGGAACAAATGGATATTATTAATTTGATTGACTAACCATGCAGGAGAAACTAAAACACAATCCGTGATATGATTTGAGTTAATACAGATTGTACCTACTTGTTCAATTCTTTTATTGTTATGATTTCCTATATATAAGTAATTATTCTCTTTCCACAATT